AGTCACAAACTAGACAAAGGTGTTCGCGTTGTAACGACGTTGGTCATAATCGACGTCATTGTCCTCAACAAAACAATGTTCTTTAACATGTAAATGCATAATTGATGTAATGTAACTGTTGAAAATGGATAATAAGATTAGAATTTACCATAAATGCTCTCAAGTAGTATATAGATACATGAACACCAAAGTCATAAAAGTTAAATGATATGAAAAATACAAGAAGTAAACATGTCATTGTTGTTCCCCCTATGTGCATGATGATGGTGATCCTCTGGAGTCAATATGCATTGTCTCTGTCTGTCTCGAGCTCCTCTATGGGGATTTCGACGTGCCTCTCCGACATCAGCAACTGCACCAAACTCAGCATTAAGATCAATACATGAATCCATAGGGGCCATGAAGGATGGTATAGGGTCTGCCTCTACGTATGGGGTACCAGGAGTCAAAAGGGAATGATGATCCTGAGGAGGTGTCATAAAGAAATCAGGTCGTGGGGAATAGTCTTCTGATCCTGTAAATGGTGACGATGGAGGCTGTGATGGCTGATGAGAACCCTGTGATGAATGAAAATAAGTGGGGGCAACCAGCAAATGCGATGTCTGGAAAGGGAATTGTGATGGTATGGGGAATACACCATCAAGGCGCTCTGGTATAGCTGGCACGGACCACTCTGATGCCTGCAATTGTCGACGTCAACGTGCCAAACCCCTTCCTTCTCTTCGTTGTGATGGCTGGTCTATGTGTAAGACTGGATCTACTGCATTACCACTTTGCATGGAGGATCTAAAGATGAAACAGGCTCTAATATGTGATCTTGCTCCTTCTTTAGTGATAAGAAAGTTTCGGACAAGTCCTTTAATTCTTCAAAGGTAAAGGCATCATGTCCATCAGTGGATAAGTAGTGCAATATCTCCATAGCATCACCCTGAAAATGGTGGGCATGTTAATGTATATGTATATTTGTATAAAAAAAATATCTCAAACATGAAATCAAATATCAACATACCGACAAAGCAGATATGGCTGCATCCCTGGTCATCCAACAACGAGTGTGACTAACATACCATCGCATGTATTCTGAATTAGAACTCAGTAATCCATATTGGATCTCATTAGTCATGACCCACAATCGTCTACTCTCCCAAATGTCTAACATGACACTAAATTTGGCTGACCAATCCTCTCCAGTCTTTCCTCTAAGGGTAAGGTCATGAAGCTGGTCAGGCTGGTAAGGAGTTTTTGGTATGTGCTGAACCATACCAAACTGACGCATTACTCGGTCAGGTTGATGCCACTCATAAACCTGAAAACATATCAGTGGCACAACCACTCTCCATAAATCCATACCGTCTCTACATATGGGTGGAAGCATGTTGATGAGTTCCATATTGTAAGGCATCCATACAATCTATACGAAGGAATAAAAATACGATCAATACCATATTAATAATATCAATTTAGAACCACTATTTCAACTAATAATTAGGCTCTATTACCTCATCACGTGCTAGACGATCAAAGATATATCTGTAGAACTGTACATCTTTCTTCCCCTTTCTTGTTCCTTCTGATACCCATCTGCAAGTTATATTTAACTCAAATAATAGGGTTTTGATAAATAACCTAACATATAATATATGCATAGACAGACAATAACAATAAAAACTTACCTGACACCATAGGGAAGATAGAGACGTGTATGGGGGGATTGCTAGGTGCTATTTGAGAAAATCTATCCCAAGCCCACATCACAATCAACCCAGCAAGTCCTCCAATAGCAACACGGTCAATGTTGGTAGCCATGCATAGCTCTCGGTACAAATAACTTAGAACTGTAGAACCCCAACTATATTGACCGGTCACCTCAAAATCTTCAAGTAAAGGCAAATACCTCACAGATACCCTGCTGCTAGAGTGATTAGGAAACATGAACCCTCCAATGAGCCTCAATATATATGCCCTAGCAAATCGAGTTATCTGAAGCTGACTGTGATTATGCATACCAATATAACTGAAGTGCTCATCCAACCAGCTCATCTTCAAAAAACTCCCTACGAAATGCTCAGGTCCTGGTCTGATACCAAGGCTATCTTCCACAATCTGCTCCCAATCACCTCCAGTAGGTGCTATAACTGGTCTCCCATCTATGCGTAATCCCAAGAGGATAACAACATCTTGAAGAGTAATAGTACACTCTCCAGGAGGCATGTGGAATGTATGCGTCTCAAGCTTTCACCTCTCCACTAATGCAGTAATCAACCCCACGTCTATGGAAAACTAGGACAAGTTTGTCACTCCAATAAACCCTGCTAACTCCAGATGCAGAACAATTTCTTCAGGAACACCCTCTATTCCACCAGGAATATTTTGACTCTTCCTAACCCTCAACATCGAGTGATCACGTCCATCCCAAATATGTTCAGAAATATGAATACTTTGAAACCGAAGAAGTGATAGATCTTCTGGGCCAGGATTAATAACCCTACTCTGTCGTGAAGATGATGCCATCTATACGAGAAAAAATATATTAGTACTACTCATTTTTCATTTCAATAATACTAATTCATAACTTTCTAACATAATTTAGATTACATACTTTATATTACATTTACATTAAAAAAAATATTTTTCAATCACTAATGTTATAATATTACATTTTAAAAACATGTTACAAAATATTTGTATGATAATTATTGTAATTATTTTTCATATAATATTATACTTACTAAACTTTATATAAATAATATTACGTTTTTAATAAAAAAAAATCTTATTATTTACATTTAATTTATTTTTAAAATTTCTTTGATTAATTTTTAAAATTTTGTTTTATCATATATTCATTTTAAAATATCTAAATTATACTCAAATTAATAAATGGGTGTAAAAATTACTTATTATAATTACACTAAATGCCAGAATGTTTATACTAAAATTTATATAAATAATATTACATTTTTAATAAAAATACTCTTATTATTTACATTTAATCTATTTTTAAAATTTCTTTTATTACTTTAAAGAAGTTATGTTTTATCATATATTCATTGTAAATCTGCAATAATTCTATAATAACAAAATCTAAATATCTAAATTACACTCAAATAAATAAATGGGTGTAAAAATTAATTATTACAATTACACTAAATAAAAGAATGTTTATACTATAATTTATATAAATAATATTATGTTTTTTAATAAAAAAACTCTAATTATTTACATATAATTTATTTTAATATTTCCTTTATTGATTTTTAAAAGTTATTTTATTATATATTCATTTTAAATCTACAATAATTGTATATTAACAAAATATAAATCTCTAAATTCTATTTTAAATAATTACAAATTGTACTTCATACAATTTTTACATTATACTTAAATTATTAATTAAATGTAAAATTTATTTATTACAATAAAACTAAATATAAATTATTATATAATTATAGAATTATTTTATTTTATTTAACTAATTTTGTATTTTTCCTATTCTTATAAATATATAACAAATATAATATGATTAATATTATATTTCAAACATATTATATACAATTAAATTTAAATAATGTTTATTACACATATATTTATAATATTACATTTTAAAAACATGTTACAAAATAATAATAAAAAATTTAAAATATTAAATTTTATTACTAACCTTAATAAACCTTTTGCCTAATTTTTTATCACACTTCACTACTTCACCCACCTGCATAAAATTAAAAAACATTACAGATTTAATTTTTTTCAAACTCTCAGATTTTCAAATAATATATAAAATAAAAATAACAATATAAATATATAAATAATGATGATTATTACCTCATTTACACCTTTTTAGCACATACAATGCAAAATCCAAATCAGAAATGCAATGAGATATTTTGAAAGGGGAGAGGATGCCGGTGACGAAGGAAGAAATGACAATCGACTTTGGGGGAGAAGAGGAAGAAGCGGGGAGGGTCTCTGAACAGTCGGACACGTGTCCATCTGTGAATGGTTTCGCCTAACTTTTGGCGAAACATACTTTCGCCATTATAGTTGCGAAATTGCTATGATGTAGCCACCTGTCCAAAATGTTCTCCAGCCATTCATTTAAAATATTTTTTTAATTCTTTTTGGACTTTCGCGTTTCTACTGGCGAAACACACACCCTGACCGCCACACGTCTCGCTCCTATTGGTTTCGCTCTGGTGGTGACGAAACACAGAGTCAATTTTACCTTTTGACTGGCGAAACCATTCATCTTCCAACACGTGGGTGGATCTTATTTGTTTCGCGTTTTTGGTGGTGAAATAAATAAATACATATTTTTAAATTAATTTCAATTTCGCCAGTCGTTTTGACGAAAAATCTGTGACGTGACAAATTCACTCTAGACAGAGAATTTGTTTCACATATACCCTAATTTAATAAATTATTTTTTATTTAACATTATTTAAATAAAAATGCCACATAAGAGTAATAGTAGAATACTTAATTATTTTATAAAAGTATAATAAAAGAAGGAAAAAAATAGTTGAAAAATAGTGAACGAATAAACATGAGTCATGTTAATATTTTTTATTTTATTGAGAGTATAAGCAATTGGTTTGTCATGTTGTAAAATAAATAATAAATAAAATATTACAATACAAAGTTATAAATAGCATTTTGTATATTACTTTTTAATAAATAAAAAGGAAACTTTATTATTTATTTTCCTCAACCTAAACAATAAGACAAAAAGAAAATTACACCAAATCCAAAATAACTAAATAAAGTTCATTAAAAGTACATAAGTTAAGTAAAATATCATTTAATATTTAGAATTTAATGTATAGTAAATGGACTGCTAAATATATAAAACCATAAATATCAAGCATTGCAACACCTGTGTGTTTCATTTCGCTGCCCAAGTCATCAACTGCACCATTGTTACGCACAAATGTTTGCCTCAAAAAGAATAAAAAATTACAAAATGAAAATAAATATTACTAATTTTCTACTCCATTTCTATTGACAGGAAATTTATGCCGGTAATGAAAAATCTTGTAACTCTGGTTCCCTTTCTTGAAACTCGTTTTCTTGATTTCATCTTTTCAAGATTGAATCATCTTTCCATTTTATTTTATTTTTTCTTTTCCTCACAAATATTTAACTAATTTTCCCGTTGCCGATTCCTAACAACTAACAATTTATGCTTCCATTTTCTTGCTGCTGTTGAACAGATCTGGTTTCATTTCAGTGCCATAAAATCAGCTCTTATCAGAGCTTCATGCGAAACTTCATCTTAAAGTTGTCTTTTTCTAACACTCTTTCACCGTAACTTCAATCTATCCCCGACACCACAACCTTATTCGGAAACTCCAAGATAGTTGGCTTCCGCGAACCACCGACTCCCCCAATTTTCCAAAACCTTAATCTTCACAAAGGATTGAAGCCAGAGAGGTCAAAATCTGGTTAGGGTTTGGCCTCGTTTGTGACAATGGATTACGCTCGGGACGGGAACGTCGTGCAAATAATCACCGGCGGCGGCGGCAGCGGAGAAAGCTGGTCCGGTGACCAAGCCGATTGGGCGACGGAGGACGAGTACCGGTTCTGGAACAACAACGGCGACGCCGAAACGACGCCGTCGAACTCAAATTACGAGTCTCGGCGGTCGGGGAGCGAGCCGCCGGGCAAAAAGTCGAGGAATTCGCAGGATGGCGGCGGCTCGAGCCGGTCAAAGGCGATCGGAAAGATGTTCTTCAAGACGAAGCTGTGCTGCAAGTTCCGGGCAGGGACCTGCCCGTACATCACGAATTGCAATTTTGCCCACAGCATAGAGGAGCTCCGGCGCCCGCCGCCGAACTGGCAGGAGATCGTGGCGGCGCACGAGGAGGAGAAAATGGTGATGACTGAGCCGAGGGAAGAGTTTCAGATTCCCACTGTGGGATCCTCTAGCTTCGCTGGGGACATGATGCAGAGGTCCTATAAGGGGCGTCATTGTAAGAAGTTTTACACTGAGGAAGGGTGTCCCTATGGGGACAGTTGTACTTTTCTTCATGATGAGCAATCCAAGAATCGTGAGAGTGTTGCTATTAGTTTAGGTCCTGGTGGTTATGGAGGTGGTGGTGGTGGTGGTGGTGTTGGTGGCGGCGGCGGGAGTGGGGGTGGTGGTGGAGGTGGCGGTGGTAGTGGGGCTGCTTCTGGTGGTTCTGCTGGGAATGGGCCTAATTCTAAGCCCTCTAATTGGAAAACCAGGATTTGTAATAAGTGGGAGATGACAGGGTATTGTCCCTTTGGCAACAAATGCCATTTTGCTCATGGTGCTACAGGTATTATTGTGACCCCTTTTCTTTCCTTGTTTAAATTTTCTTTTTTCAATTATTGATAATTGGTGGGGATAGGATAGGGGATCGTTGTGTTCTTGCATAAAAAGCTCATGAATACTTTGCGTTGTGGCAGTCATTTCCCAATGTGAAGCATTTTCTTTCCGTTGGGATACAACAAAATCTAGGTGTTGATGGCCGCTTTTTGTTTATGTATTGTTCAGGCTTGGTTTTTATAATTATTATTACTGCTATTATTATTATTATTACTATCATTTATACAATTTTGTTAATCTCAGCTATTAGACTTGAGTTTAAGTATTTAAAAGTGGTAAATTAGTATTAGGAAGAATCATATTCATTGCATTAAAGTTATAAAAATATAATAAAAACCTTTTAAAAATAAAATCTTACTATTATAAGTTCCTTAAAAGCTCTAAAGGTTAAGGTTAACATTTTCCTTATTTATATGGTTGGCATAACTATAATTTTGAAAATGACAAAACTTATTTTTAGTGTAGTTATCCAATGAAAATTGAATTTTCACATTAGTAATCCATACAATAAAGGTTGGCACAGATTACCAAGGTTAAACTTCAATTTTAATTAGAGAACAACACCAAAGTACTTATGGTAGTATACCTAAGTTTTGTCCTTCTGAAAAATGTTAATGTCAGTCTTTAGAATTGAATTTAAGCATTTAATAATAATGACTTTTTATAAAAAGAAAATATTTCCAATGTAATAAATGTTTTTCTTTTTAATAAAAGTTGTCTACTTTTGTCTGCTTAATTCATTCTTAAGGGCAAAGGTTAACAAATTTGATAATCATATTTTTAGATTGCATTTTATGGAGTAAGCCATGGCTGCATGTGTCAACTAATAATTATATCCATGTGTTTCATTAAGCATATAATCGAAGCGTGTCATGGCAACTTTAGTAGTCTTTGCACTATTTCATTACAGCATGTTTGCATGCTCTGAAACATGCTTATGATGAGGGAAATGCATGGTTCATTATTTTTTGCACAATGAAAGGCATAACAAACAACTGAATCTACAGCAAGAGATGAACTTTTAAGTCTAAAGTGTGGAAATTTGTGTTTCTCTTTTTTTCTAAGTGTCCTTCACTTGACAATGTGTTTCTATATATGAGATTGCTGTTGAGTTTTCCTCTGCCTTGTATTCTTCAATATCTAAGATTCCTTTTCTGATTAAAAATACTCAGTCTGAAAAGATGAGAAAAACATAGTTTGATTAGTGCTGGGTTCAAAATGAATAGAGGACACTGCTTACATCCTGATAGCACTCAGAGATTTAGAGTTGTAGATGGAGTGGAAGCAACCAAATCTTACTCAGATGCAATTTCTGGTAACTGCTGTGTACATAGTTTTTCTCAATTTTTCAAGATTATCAGATTTTGGTAAGCGCCCAAACATTGGGTTCTCTCCAACTAAAACAGTAGCTCTTGAGATAAATGTTATGCAAGGGCAGTACAACATGTAGTTGAGAAACTAGATGAATTATATTAGACAGCCTATTTTCCACCTCAATCAACATTTTTAGGGACTGACACATTTATTAAAAATATACTTTTAGATTCCAAAACAATAAACTTTTTATTCTGTTGCTTTTTGATATTAAAAATAATAAATGTCATGATATCAACAATTGGAAGCAAAGACTAGGATTGTATCTAATCTTTCAGTAAATTAGTGAATATAATTAGGAAAATTTCATGGTGGATGCAAATGCGTGGTAAAGATATAGTTAATCACACAATAGATATTGTTACTTCTAAATGTTCAGCCCCATTATTTGAATGTTTGCGTGGGAATTACTGTAATACCATTTCATACTTTCCAGTGGATCGGTGCATGGTCCTATGACATTTGAGAACATTTTCTGATGTTGGAACATACCTGCATTTTTTTTTTTTAGACTGTTTCTGTCAAAATTTCCTATTAAGCCATTTTCATATGAATGACTTTGATATTGATATTGTGAACACAGAGTTGCACAGATATGGAGGTGGGCTTATGGAGGGAGAAAATAGAGATGCTGCTTCTGCTGTTGCACCTGACACAAATAAGGGAGTGCCTTCAAAAGCTTGTCCTGATAATGTGGTTGCTTCAGTTACACCTGTTGCACATTCTGATGTTTATCATATTGGAGTCGTCCCTTCACAAAGGCCTTCTATTGTGATTCAGAGGCCAGGACAGAGAACTCATCAGAAGTGGAAAGGTCCAGATAAAATCAGCAGGATATATGGTGATTGGATCGATGACATCGAATAGAGTTATAACATAATCCCAGTCATGGAAACAAGGAAAGTGCTTATTTATTTCCATGAAACTGAATACGCAAGGATTTTCATTCACATGTTGTTTTATTAGCTATATCTTATGATCCTTCACTTCCAATGGGAATAGCACTTTTTTCCGGCTTCATGGATAACTGTTTTGTATGTTTATGGTGTAATTCACCTTAATGCGCTGGTTTCCTGGCGTAAGAATGTAGCAACAGCTTCCATGTATTTGCATCATATTGTATTCTATCTCGTAATCGTTCTTTTAAAGCTGTTTAACATGCATCTTGCTGTTGAGGGTATATCAATGCTCCTAGTGTTTGGGACCGTAAATTTTGCGTTAAAATTGTCCAATTGAACAAGAATTTTAAGAAATAAGAATTTGAAACTCGGTTGATTTCTTCAGTCTTGATTTTTACTTGAATGGTTCTGATTGTTGGACAATTTTATCTTTCAACGCCGGAGAAGATGAAACTGAACCTGGAGAAGGAACGCATTGAGGAGCACAAACCTCTACACTAGAATGTATGTCGACACAATAGCTTGGTTCTCGAATTGATCATTTTCCAACTCCGGAAGGAAAATTAAATAATCAATTATTACTATTAGAAAATCAATCATTCATGTTCACCTGATCGAGAGAACATGCTTGCCAGTAAATTGAAATTTGAGTTTTGCAAGACAAAAGAAAATCTATTTGTGTTGTAGCAAAATCATGCCTGTTATATGAGAAGAATCATCCTTCAATCAGTGAAAATTCGAGTTTTTCATTTATTTTTTTTTCCTGTTGACACTAACAAGATTCACATGAAGCGCCTCAATTTATGCAAACATCAAAATCTCCTCACCATTCAGCAAGCCCTTTGTCCTCTTTTGTATCATTTGTGAAGTCAACGTTGATGGAAGCCTCGTTGATATCATTGATTTCTGTCTACGAGACCTTAGAGAAGAGCTTCTGATATCATTCAGTGCTGAGGAGGGACTAAAGATTGCGAGCAATCTTTGTGCTGTATACCAATAACGTATTGATGAATGCCCCTCGTTTATTTCCATGAATGACCAAAGATTTTGCTCATCAAGTGCTAATATCCCCTTCCGCCCTATTTACAAGAGGCTTTCAACTAAATCACACCTTCAAAACATTGTTAATTGAAATTAATTAATTAATTATTTTTTAAAATATTAATTTCGACATTTTAAGTTCACTCTTGTTTAAAGGTAAATTCTATTATTGATTAATTTACTACAAGAAATGCGCAGAATAATGGCGAGATTATTGGTGGGTTTTTTGACGGTTACAATTTATACCAACAGGTTTATCAACAACGGCTGATCATTGGTATTTTAGCCGTCGAGAAAAATATTATAGACAGTGAACGAAACTCGTAAGTAATTATTGTCGGATATAAGAATGAAGACCATTAAGTATAATTAAATTATCAAGTGCATAATATTACCAATAAGTGTTTGTAATTTTACCAGTGGGTTATTAAAATTAATAATAAATTTATTGTAAATTTATTGACAAATATTTTAATCTTTTTAAAATAATCAATTTGAAATTATAATAAATTACCAACGGATAATGGCTTAAAATTATTTCAAATATTTAATTTGACGTATGCATTATTTGGTATCACATGTCTTTATATTTATTATTATAATAATTTCATTATCAAATAAAGTAATATTAAGAAAGAAACTAATGAAATATCAATTAAATAAACAAAGTAATGCAATAATTAAAGAAAATGTTATAATGAGTTGTATACAAAGTGTAATAAATGTAAAAAATTATCCAAATAAAATAATAAAAAAAGTTAGATAAAGACTAATTAAACTCTTGGTCGTTGCCATCATTGGAAGCAGCAACATCATCATCTAAACCATTAGAGTCATCTAAGTCATTTGAATGTGAAGAGTCCTAAAATATGGGTCAAAGAGGCATTGGTAGTGATCTTGACATTGGTAGTGATCTTCTTATGTATCTTCCTAAAGCTTGCATTCTTAAGTAGATCATGAGTGATTATACCTACTCTATATAACATTTGTGATCCGATGGTAACTAGCAACAAACAATTTAAAATTATTAGATAGATTAACATAATTAAAAATAATGAAAATTTCAATGTGTAATGATGTATTTATAGAAATATTTGTTTAAACTTGTCTTTGTCGTTCGACCTAATCTAGTGAAGCAAACTACCATCAAGCACAAATTTCCTACTGTCATAGCCAAAGGGCCTCCTATCCAAGTCTCGTGTTTTATCTTTTTTCCATTGTAACAGACTAGTTGGAGCAAACATATACCCAATATCATACCCAAGAGTATGATGAAATGAAGAATCAACATACCCAAGAATGGGTATCATCCTAAAAGGAGAGGTGGGAGTGGTAGGAACGGAGGTAGAGATGGTGGTAGTAAAGATCGAAGTAGAAGTGGCGACAAGGATAAAGATGGAGGTAGTAGAAGTGGTGGTGGTTAAATTGACCTTACGAAATCAGTCTCTGTCTCTGCCAACCATAATGAAACAATTAAACAGTCCATATAAAGCAATAATTGCATAAATTTTTTTAAAATAATTTGAAAATATTATTATTTAATATTAGTTTAGGGTTATTTTCCTCGTCAATTTGTTGTCGATCATTATTTGAATTATCACCACTAATATTACTTATTTAATCTTTTTTATTTACATTTAATTATATCAACTTCTCCAGTAGTCAACAAAAGAAAATTTTCAAGATTGTCTACATCTATTACTATCCTTAAAGGGGGTGGATCATGCACTTGATAAGCATCTAGAACAACATCTTTCTCTATTTCAATATTATCTCTTAGTTTTATCATGTTCACAACCCTCCAGTATGACCTACTTTTTCCTGGATAAGACATATATTTTACTTGTCTAGCATTTTGTGTTTTGATAAATGGATCATAACTTTCATGTCTTCTTGTGGGTTTTACTTGTCTAGCATTTTGTGTTTTGATAAATGGATCATAACTTTCATATCTTCTTGTGGGTCGATTTCAATGATTATAACTTCCACACTTAAATACAACACATTTTTTTGTTATGAACCTATGTAAATAAAGTTTGAAATTTCAAACTAAGTTGTATCAAACAAAATTAATATACAACAATATATCAAGAATAATAATTTTAAAATATTGACTTACATATTAGGTTTATGTATTGTTGAAGACAATTTTTTTCGTGCAATTATTCAAAGTATTTGTTATTGAAAATATATTTTATCTTCTTTTAAGTATGCATAAAATGTGAAAAAAAAAATAGTTATTGACTGATAATTTGAATAGTTGCACTGCATCACAATTTATTAAAATGTGTAAGTGTACTAAATTTTATTTCTTGAAAATTAGTCATTGAAGACAATGTTGGTGGAATAGAACTTTCTCCTTCATTATCATTACAACCAATCCGAGTTCTCCTAGATTCAACATGTTACTAAAAGTAAACTGAGTAAAAATTTGAAGTTTCTTTCGCTACATAAGATTGACATATTGATTCCTCCACTTGAGACTTATTTTTATTGATTCTCTTAAACTTTTTTTTTCAATGGATACATCCACCTGCATTGAACTGGTCCATACATGCGTGCTTCAGATGATAAATGTATGTTCCATTAGGTCAAAGAACCCAAGAGAAAACATTCTCTCTAATTTGCACAAATTTATAATAATATTTTTTCCATGACAAGGAGACATTCAACCTTAAGAGTAAAAGATCATAAATCTCTGAAATATTGACTCAATTCAGTTAAGGGCTTCCAAACAACATCAAGTAGATCTTAAATGCAATTACAAGCAAATACTCTATGAAGACGTAGTAATCATGACTTTTCATTTTAAAAAGCTTACATTTGTACAACATTAACGCACTTACTTAAGTTAGAAGCATAACCATCAAACACTCTCAACTCCTTCAGCCATTAAAAAAATAACTTATTTTTTAGTGAATATTTGGCTTTTGGTTTATAGAAACAATCATCTCTCAATTCTTGGAAATGATTTGTTCAATATCCATCCATCACAATATTCATAATTTTGTCGAACACAATTTTCTTAATATGTATAATATCTAAATAATAACACACCAAATTATCCTTTTGATATGACAACTCCAAAAAAATAAAAAAAAACTTGTTTGGGATTATACCTCATAGCTCGACATTTGTATTACCTTTTTGACTTCTATTATTTTGAAAATTCCTTAACTTTGATCCTACATTTGGTAATCACTTAGTCTAATGGAGGGTCATCATTTTCAACACAATTATTTTTAAATCCATATCTATTTGCCTATATGAATGATTAACATCTAAGAACTTCATATGACTATCAAACCAAGAGTTTTTTCCTCTATGTTTCTAAGTGAATGTTTTAGTATTTTCATGCAAATTAGGCATGCTAATTTGCCTAAAGTCATCCAAGCAGACAATATTTCATAAGCTGAAATGTCATTGATGTTCCATATTAATGCAACCCTCATCATAAAATTCTACTTTTTTGAAATGTTGTAAGAACACCTTGAGACCACAATTCATCAAACAAGGGGTTCAAGATATACATCAATCTTAGTTTTTGAATTCAAAGGGTCAAGGATTAAACATGTTAAGAACATGTAAAGATCTTTCATGCACTTTTGCCTTATTAATGAATTATCCGTTTGACATGCTTTCCTCTAAAATTGTTTAAAACTATTATAAACTTTCAATTTAATCTCCATTGATTAGAATGCAATCTATCATACATTCATGACTGGTATGAAAGTAATATTGCACTTGTGATTAAGTGTAGATCACATAAATTTTTCAAGACATGAAATAGTTACTTTTGAATACAAATTCAATTTTAATTTCAATTTTTAATATAACTACTTTTAATCTTATTTTCTTAATAAAAATTCAGATAAAATTTTGATATCATCTCTACTTAAATTAGAAGTTTCTGTCATTGCATAAAGTTCATTATTAACATTTTTCAATAATCACTAATGAGTAAGCAAAAATTTTAAAAAATTAAATAATAATAAACATAATTTTCAAAAACTTATCGTACTCGATCCGTAAATTACCAATATTCTTATCGATGAGTAGTTAATAATAAATTAAATATATTCATTTCTCTGTAATTTATCAATGAATTTATCCATAAAAAAAGTTGGAATTTTAAAAGTTTAAAGCCAATGTACATAATTTTTTTAAAAAAATCCTTCAATAATATTGTTGATAATATAGAAAAAAATAAATAAAATTAAAACTGGTAATACATGTTGATAAGTTATGTTTATCATAAAGTGTGAGATGGGATAGTATGGTAGTGTTTAGTTCAAAGACAAAGACACTGAGACAGAGACACGAAGGCACGCATATCATGTTTAGCTAGTGACTCACTAAAGAGATAGAGACACAAAAGACACAAATTTGAAGGACACCAGTGTACTTTATAGAAAAAGGGACACTAGTGTCCCAGCTCTAGAGATATAGAGGGTAAACTTTTGAAAACAAAAATACCTCTCATAATTTTTAGAAATTGCATAGATTATTCTCATAATTTTTATATCCAAACACAATACAAGACGCAATATACCACGTTCTATTGTTGCTTCCAAACACAGTACAAAGACATAAACATTAATGTCTCTGTTCTTTATTGTCTTAGTGTCTCTGTCTTCTGTGTCCAAGATCTGTATCCAAACACTACCTATGATACTCATTGGTGCTATCATTTACTAATTGATTTACCATTAGTTGTTGAAAAAAAATAACTATTATAAGTGAAAAAGTCAAATATTACATCAATCCATCAAAACATGTATCGGTAATTACTAATAGGAGATAATCTATCGTCAGTATCCATCGATAATCTGCAAATTCTTTGTTGTAATTTGTTGTGTGATAAAAAAAATCAATATTTATGAAGGCCAAATACGTAAAATGTAATAAATATTTCTAAAACTCAAAATATTTAAAAATATTTATAAAAAAAAACTAAAAGATGTATAATATATAAAAACATAAGAAGTGTTAATATAAGTAAGAATAAAACTATTTAAAAAAAAAAAAACTACCCTCGATAGTCGAGTCATCGGAAAGGGTAGCAAATAATGGAAACTTTTAATTCTCCTGATCTTTTTATCTGACAAAATTTTATCGCATCTTTTCTTACTACAAGAGCAATCTTTAGACTCATGTAAGATTATATATAATGATCTAATAATTCTAAGAGCTTTGAAAACACACAATGTTAAAGCATTAAATACATCCTAAATAATGTTCGGACACGAGTCCATGTCCTCCTCATAAGGACTCGCTCAAAACCGACCCTTGCTACCCTCCGCATCATCGTTGCATATTAACCCACTATCTATTACTCATACAAAACCATTGACATATCACCCCTTTACCAAACTTAATTTTGGGGTGTTGTATGGTGGGAAACTTGTGTTACCCATGCAAACAACGAAGAATGGAAGGTCCCGAATAAGTCATTCTCCGGCGACCTTAAACAAGAATTTCCCTTCATTGGTCTCTGATGTCTCTGGGAGAACCGAACCGCAACCCGCCGCCAGTGGCTGCAGAACGCAATAATACCCCCCCGGCATTGATAGCCTTCACCCTGGGCGTCCTTGTAATCTGCTTTGCGGCATTCAGCATTGTCTATTTATGCAAATATTGTTTTTCAGTGCTTATCCACAATTGGACCTTTCAACGCACTGCCTCAGGTTCCCTCATTCGTCTTTCACCCAACAGGTCTCCCCCTAGAGGTCTTGACCCTTCCTTGCTCCAAGTCTTCCCTACTTTCCTTTTTGCCTCTGTCAAGGACCTTCGCATGGAGAAGAATAGTCTTGAATGTGCCATTTGCTTGTTTGAATTTGAGGATGATAGTATTCTTCGCCTCTTGACCCTCTGCTGCCATGTCTTCCACCAAGAATGCATTGACCTTTGGCTTAGTTCTCACAAGACATGCCCCGTTTGTCGAAGAGACCTTGATTCGCCAACCGATGAAATGCGAAAAAGTGGGGACATTATTGATCATCTTGTAGAAGATAGTATTGTGTCATCAACAAGCGATGAGTTACACATTGATGTAAGAGAAGGGGAAAACGATAGGGGTAGTGCAAGTGTTGGAGATCAAAGATACAAGCACAAACATGAACATAAACATGAATGTCAATGTGATTATGACCATCCTATTTTTATGAGCATCAGGGTGCAGCAACAAGAACAGCAAATGTTTGCAAGGTCACACTCAACGGGGCACTCTATAGTTTTGATTAGAGGTGGGGGAGTTGAAGGGAAAGATGATGATAAATACATGTTGAGATTACCGGAACATGTTACAAGAGGTAGGTGTAATTGTACAATGAGCTCTGTAAGTTACAAGGACATGGCGAGGCTTGTTGCACCTTTGACGTAATTGTGCCTTTTGTCAACCTATGTCTGGCTTCTCTTCACTTGGCCATACTCAAAATTCTTGAAGCGTATTATTCTCTGTCATCATTATCAATTCTCTGTTTTCACTCCTATTTTCAAAAAAATTGTTGTTTAAAATTTTCACATGTAATTTAGATAGAAGTTATTAGGTTCATAATTTTTTGTAGTGTGTAGTATTTAGATACATTGTACATTATATATGGTTAACAATTCTAAATGTTTCAACTTTTCTTTCTCTTCTTTTCATTTTATACCTCTTTTTTCTATCTCGTTCTTTTCCTTCCTTTAGTCATATTGCTCATTCAATCACTCATTTTTCATTCCTTCTTTTTTTTCTCTTTTTTTTTTTTTGGTTTTATATCACATCTATCTACCTATTTTACACACCCGTGCATTGGGTTGGGAAGAAAATCATTTACATATCATTAATGCTTTTATTTTGAAGTGGAAAGTTTCGATCAACTTATGCCTTTTTTATATTATTTTAGAGTAAATGAAGATAAGAGACTAGTTTCATCCTTTTCTCATTCTTATAAACAAAATAACGATAGTTACATATTAACATAATATTTTTACCTCATTTTTAATCTCATTTTTGTTACATCACATTATATATCGCATCTTTCACTTGTTTGCTTCCTCTTCCTATTTCATTGTACATATTTTTCGCTGTTGTTAAAAACAAGACATCTGGTGAACGTATAATCATAATTTTTCTAAAGAAAAATCTCTCCCCTTATTTTTATTTTTCTGAAGTACAAAAATAATAAGTTAACATTCTTGAGTGTAATACACCTAAAATGGAAAGAAAAATGAAAAACAAGGAAAATAAACAATAAAAATAACTAGTTTATTTCCCTTTTTTTTAGTATAGGAGATGAAAAGAAGAGAGAGATAAAGAAAAATAAACGAATAAAAGAGGAGAGAAAAAGTGAAAGATATAAGTAATTTTATGTGATAAAAAGAAAAAAAGGAAAAATATAAAAAAATACTATACATATGAGTATATTTAGTAAGTCATAATGTAATAAGGGATGAAAAACAGAGAAAAAAAGAGAGTACAAGTTGAACGTTAGAAATTAAGTAAAAAAAAAATTATATAAGCTTCACTTTGATTTAAATACATAAGTTTTGTTATTGTCATTTTAGTCATCCATGAAAAATCTAGTTGCCTATAGCAACAATATACTCTTCTTGGTTTCATTATTGAAGAAATATATAGCACAATTAGGAATTACTCAAAATATGAACTCAATTTATCACCACTAAATTGGAGAAGATTGTCTTTGACGATTGAATTTAACAGAAGTTGATATATATATTAGTTAGACTACTTTTCTTTCTCTCCTCCTTATATTAATTATTTTTACTTAGTTTTTTTTTTATCTCATTTTTATTATAAAAATAATTATACAAATACATTAATTTTTTCAATGAAAAAGTAACTCAACAACAAAAAGAAGAAATTTTATTTAACTGAATTGTAATATGAGGTGGTAAACAATAATAAGACTCCATGACTTAATGATTAACATTGTCTATAATTAATACGCTATCATTTTTTAAGTTTAAAGATGGCCGACAAATAGTACTTTTCTACTTAGAGCACCATGAGATTAAAGAATCTCCCAGAAAAATCACAAAACGTATCTTAGTAGCAGCTTGATAATGATGAATAGTGGGAGAAGCCATATTTGATTTATATATTGTATCGAAAACAAATGTTTGGACTAATGGTTGTCAAATAAAAAAGAGGCCTATGAACCAACGATAAGATATATTATCAAAATGAAACATAATAATGTTGAATAAATGTTAGTGAGTTTAGTCATTGGAGTGCTAGAAGGCTTGATAATAATGTAAAATGAAATTTTCATTGACAAAGATGGATGCTATTATGAGTACGAGATAGATTATTTCAAGAGTCAAGAAATTCGTTGATGAATTGGATGTTGGATAGATTATTTTCTTCTAAAATTACATCATCAATGTCGCAACCGGGCGATCGCAACGGTACGACGGATGACAAACTTGTTCCAAAATATCAGAGGAGTCGCCACCAAAGTTTATTTTTAAGAAAAAACCTTGGAAAAACTTAAATATAATACGATCTTTGAAACCAAAAAAATGAGTTCGGAAGTCATTTACGTGTAGGGAAGGTATTAGCACCCTACAACGTCCGTTTAAAAAACGGTTACCTAAAATTAATTGTACAAAATTATTCTAATTTTGAAAAATATTTATTTAACCCCTAAACATTAATTATTTTATTTTAGAAGAAGAAATATTATTTATTAAAATATTATTCGAGTTATTTTAAAAAATATTTTGACTTGACGGGTACGGTTCCCGCTCCTACGTATCCCCGAATGCAATGGGAAACTCAAAGTCACGTAGTTCTATCTAAAAATTATGAAATTAGTTGATTATAATTAAGTTTAGTAAAAGAAAAATTTATTTTAGAATTAAAATCATTTTTCGTAAAAATTATAATGTTTAGGATACAAGATAATGCAGTTATACATGTACCCTACGAGAAAACAATACAGAAAGTGAAGGAAGATCACACAACTATACTGCAAATCATTAAGAAATATTTTATTCGTAAATGGAGTATTTGAATTTTAATTTTGATTATGATTAATATTGAAAGAAATTTAAGATAGCGTAAGCTATACATAAACTTCTTATAATTTATTAGACTATCGAAGGCAATGTAAATTACACATCGATATTATAAAAATTTATAAAATGAATAAATTATAGTAATTTAATTTATCAAAATTTGAAACATGACTTAAGAAAATAAAAAAAAAATTATTTGAATTGATTAAAGAAGATACTCATTTAATAAAAAATATTAAAAATTTTATTTGATAGATTTATATTATATAAAACCTAAGGTAACGTTGGTACACATAGATTTTGACAATTTATAACGCCTAAAGGTAGAGTCGCTACACATTAGCATTATAAATTATTTCTTAATAAAATAATTTAGATTTAAATTAGTTGATTGATTTGTAAATTAGTATTTAGAAGAGAAATACATCTTGCATTATTATTAAAGTGATTAACTAATTAATTAATGACAATATGTGATAAGTTAATATTGCATAAAGTCTTGGTAACGTAGGTACACATAGACTTTATCAATTTATAATACATGACGATAGAGAAGCTATACGTTAGTATTATAAATTGATACAATTATATTATTATTTATTAATTAATTATAAAAAAATAAGTAATTTAGTATTCACAATATAAAATAAAATAATCATAAATATAAAATTAAATCGCATTAATATGATACAAATATACAATAAATAAAATAAAAGATAACAATCCTAAAAAATAAGATATAAATAATGAAATATAAAAAAGGAAATAATTTAAAAAAAAATCAACTCAGATATAATATTGTAAAGTAAACGGTATCAAGAGATTTTAAATAAATAAAATAAAATAAAATAATTTAAACAAAGTTAACATAAAAAAAAATAAATAAATAATAAAAACTCATTCATTAAATAAATTAATAATTATCATAATAACAAATAATAATGATGATGAATAAATAAATAAAACTAAAACAATAAATTATATATTGAACTAAATAATGATAAAAATAAAATAAATAAGAAAATTTGGACAAAAAAATAATAAAAAAATAAAAAAAGAATAAAATGGTCTCAAATTTTAAATTTTCAGATTTGAGAGGGAAGGACTTTAGGGTTAGGGGTGTGCTTTTCTCCAAGAAAAACAAAAAAGGGTTATGAAAGGGTGGAGGTGAGGTTAATGGAGGCCATGGTGTTGAGTGGTGAAGGTTATTGAGAGCAAAAGGAAGAGGAATGAGACAAGGTAGGGAAAGAGTTTTTTTTTATGGTGAGTTTTGTGTTTGTGGATGATGATAGATGGAGGAATGGGTGGAGAGGTGGTGAGACATGGATATTTGAAATGGTGGTTTAAAATATTTTTTTATCATTTGAGATTGATTTGATATAGGAAATGTTTATTCAAAATATAAATATGTATGAAGAAGAAAAATGTGTAAAATGTATGATGAAGCTTACTTGATGTTCTTGAAAATTTTTGCTTGCCTCTTGTTCTTCCTCCTTTCCACTAACCTTTCTTTCTCTCTATTTTCTCTTTTTCTCTTCCCGTTTTAGAATGTCTCCTCTCAAAAATTTTTAGCCTCCTCTGATGTCTCCCCCTGCTCTATGGTCCTCTTTTCCTTTTATTGTTAGGGTTTTCACAAAAGGCCCAAAATTCTGAATTTTTCCTTTTTTATGTATAAAGTAACATTGGTTCAAGAATTTAATTATTTGTCATATTTTATTTTCCTTTTAAAAATTAATTCTGAAATTTTCCTATTTTATTAAGACAATTTTTTTTTTTTAAAAAACCTTTTGATTCCATTCTTCTTTTGTAATATTAAAATTCAGATTTTTTTATTTTTTATTTTTTCATTTTTATTTTTATTTTTAAAAAAAAAATTTAAATCAAAATTTTAGTGTTCACAATTGCCCCTCTTTACTCAGTTTTTATAAAAAAATATGTATGAACAAGTTTCATATTAAAGTGATAAAAATTGAGTAAAGAAGTGAACTAATTTTGGTTTAAAAATGATAAGATACATAAAAAAAAGAGTCAACATCAGAAGCTATTAGAGAAACCATGATTTTTGATGGTTTGTGCTTAACAAATAATAACAAGAATTATGAGACAACATTATGCTTTGACTAAAAACTAAGATTGCCCGGCAGATAATGGACTTTAGCCAAAAATAAAAGTTGCACGTAAAGTAAATCAAGTTCTAAACTTTTGACAATAAAGTAAAAGGAACCAGTCAGGTTCTGGGGTTTTGACAAAGAAGTGAAATGTGCTAGTTAGATGCTGAGTTTTTTGAGAGAAAAGTAAAATGTGTCATTTAGGTTCTGGACTTTGATAGAAAAGTGAAAGGTGTCAGTCAAGTTCTGA